AGTTCTTAGGATTCCATACAAAGACACTTTCTTGAAAGCTTGTGTTGCACCATTTGTTTGCAAGGAAAACTGAATTAAGGAAGATTCAAGATTTCGGGCCTGTTGTATTGGTCTCTTTTTCATTGCTGTGACTAAAATATGTGAGAAGAAGAACATAGAAGAGGAAAAGTTTATTTTGGCTTCTTGGTTTCAGATGTTCATTCCCTGGTTGGCCCACTTCATTAATGGGCCCTAGAGATGAAGAAATCATGGCAGAAGTGTGTGGCATACACAAGCTCTTTAGCTTATGAAAGGCAGGAAGCAGAGACACAGAGAGAACTAGGAACCAGAGAGAAAATAGAGTCTCCAGGGGCATCTCCCGAGTGTTCTACTTCCTCTAGCTATTAGCACTTGCCTAGTTACCACCCACTAATACACTGAAATTATTAATTCCCAATAAGGATTAACCCACTGGTTTATTATCTAATCATTTCACCTCTGAATATGCCTGAATTGCTGCATGAGCTTTTATAGGAACATCTCATATTTAAACCATGACAGAGACCCAATAGTTCATTCTCTTTGCCTGTAGAAACCCACACTCAGGAAACTTAACAGGGTCACAACAATAAAAATGTCCCCAAGGTGAGTTTTCTCAAGGCGCCCTTTATGTCCTTATTCCTCAGGCTGTAGATGAAGGGGTTCAGCATGGGAGTGACCACAGTGTACATCACCGAGGCCATGGCACTCATTCTGGGAGAATCAGTCACAGCAGAACTCAGATAAACCCCAATACAAGTCCCATAGAACAAGGAAACCACTGACAGGTGAGACCCACAGGTAGAAAAAGCTTTATACTTTCTACCAGTTGATGGGATTCTGAAGATGGAGGAGACAATTTGAGCATAAGAGAAAATTATCCCGAAGAGAGGAGCAATACCCAAGAAGATGGTTGCTAAAAATTCAACCATGTTATTGATGAGAGTGTCAGAACAGGCCATCCTGATGATCTGAGTCAGTTCACAGAAGAAGTGGGGGATCTGCAGATGTTTGCAGAAAGACAGACGCAGCAACATCAGAGTGTGCACCAGGGCATCCACAGTGCTGATGAGCAGACAGATCAGAACCAGCAGGGCACAGAGGCGGGGGTTCATGATGACCGTGTAATGCAAGGGGTGGCAGATGGCCACATAGCGATCAAAGGCCATCACGGTCAGCAGTAAATTGTCCATACATACAAAAACCATGAAAAAATATGCCTGAGTGAGGCAGCCTGCATAAGAGATGGCTTTGCTTTCTGTCTGGATGTTCAGCAGCATCTTAGGAACCACAGTGGAAGTGCTGCCAATGTCAGCCAAGGACAGGTTGGAGAGGAAGAAGTACATGGGGGTGTGGAGGTGGGAGTCAGAGCTGACGGCCAGGATGATGAGCAGGTTCCCAACAACGGTGACAAGAAACATGGACAGTAGCAGTCCAAAGAGGACGGGCTGCAGCTCTGGGTCCTCTGAGAGTCCCAGGAGGAGGAATTCTGCTGTATGGGTTTGGTTTTCTGGTTTCATAGTTTTGAGGAGTCTGCTGCAAGATAGGGGCATAGTGACAACACAGCACAGAGAGATCAGTGGTGAACACAGTCCTTTGGTCTACAATGTGAATTCTAGTAATATTTAGAAAGTTCTCTTCAGGTTGTCCTACCCATTTCTTTAGCCCTTGCATTTTGAATAAATTCTATGTATTATCATACATAAAATTAAATGTGAGAATTTTTCCAATAATAAAATACAAAACAAACGTGCTATTTTATGCTTGAGGACCTTAAAGTCTGAATGCAGACTTTAAATCTAGCCTGAAACTATAGTAGTTTCCTAATAAAGCACCAAACGGGTGAAATCAATCAATTTTCATGGAATCCTAAGTTGTAGTTTACACTGATCTAATCTCAAATGTTGCTGAAAATTACGACCTCACGTACTCTACCGCCTTACTTTGACAAATGACATTACCTGTCTATTTCTTTAATATTTCATATCATCCAATTACATCAAGTAACTCCAAAGCATCTATGTAATTTCAGTTACGTGCTATAGACCTAGAACAGTTGCTCTTCTTTTTCAGATTTTGATTTGACATTTGTCATATATTTCTCCAGGAAGGGACATTTTCACAAAGCTGACTGAGTCTGTATTTTGTTTCATACTGACATGTCCCATCCAAAGTGAAAATGCCCATCTCCCTCGACCCCCTTTTGTGGTGTTATAGGGACTGACACAGGGGTGCTGAATCACGACCCACATCCAGTCCTGTTGATTTTATATTTTGATACAGAGCCTCATTAGGTTGCCCAACTTGGCCTCCGGTGTGTGATCCTCCTGCCTCAGCTTCCTCTGTAAGGGAATTACAGGTGTGGCCCACTGTACTCAGCTCCCATCTGGTATTTAAAACAAGCATCACTTACTACTTTTGATGAGCTGATTAATTTTCTTTTATAATCACATCTTTCTCTCATTCCTTTGACTGTTGCCAAACTTGGAGACCATGGAGTAGATCATGTCTGCAGACAAACACGGCTCAGGAATATTAGGAGAATACTGAATCCTGGAGGAGGCAAGGCTGGGGCAAGCCTTCAGTACTCACCAGCTCTGTCGCTCTATCTCAGCGTCCTCGGAGGCTGATCTTGGTATGCAACAGAGGGCAGAGGACTGGGTGGTTCTTTAAGTGGTTATTACAAATATATGCACGTGAATCCTCCATAACAAGCCTCAAGGGTCAGAGATATAAGACAGTGAGAATCACAGAGCTCTCAACACCCAGCCTCCCGGCTGCCCTCCCCAGGGAAGGCACTGGATTGGCTGTTCTCCAGAAAGACAAAGACTGTGGCCCTCAGACTTAGTGCACACATCAGTTACTGAAAGGCTCTGTTGGAACACACATCCTGGTCCTTCCCTAGACTTTCAGACTTCCTACGCTTGGCCTGTGGTCCTAGGAGTTCTGTTCTACCAAGTCTCTAGGTGATGCTGCTGCTGGCCCAGGAACTTCACCTGGAGAACCCCCAGTGTGGTGCACTGATTGTGAAGAGCCCAATGCATGGCAGTTCTTCTGATATCATGGCCCAGAAGTTCCTAGTGTGAGCAAAGTTACAGAAAAACAACCATCAGGCCAGGGTCAAGGGCATCTGTTCTAGGACCTTTAGGTATTATAATAGCCAGAGACCCAGAGGACAGGAGCAACTGTAATGGGTTGTGACAGAAGGGGAGGAGGACAGAATTTAAAAATAAGAAAATCACAACTGTCCATGTTGTTCTCCACAAATTGGCATGGGTGGAAGCAGAAAGGCAACTGATAGGTCTGAACGTCTATTGGCTGTTGTTGATGATCAGCCGTGGACACAAGAGTAAGCGAGGGTAAAAGTGCTGTAGCTGCTGTGGCTTGGCCCAGTCCCAAATATTCAGTGGAGTAGATGCAAGGGCCCTCCACCCTGGAATCCTTCCCAGCTCCTTTTAAAGGGCTCTGAGACCAGGTGCAGTCACTCTGCAATCTAAGCCCACACATGTGCAATTCCCAATGTAGAGTTCCCTGCTGTGTGACCACGGTGGTTTGTCATTCAATACTGGTTGGGGTAGGATGGCATGGTGGGGACAATGAGGACTTTGAACAGTTTGGATCCAACATTTACTAACCCATAGAGCTGTACAACTTTCAGGACATTACTCAACTTCTATATGACTCTGCTCCTTCACCTGTAATAGGAGAACTCAAAATAGATCAACTAACAATTAAAAGTTGTGTTTTATTGTTTTTTTTAATTTGCTCTTTTTTAGATACATGATAGTAGCGTGTATTTTGACATATTTTACATACACAGAGTGTAACTTATTCTAATAGGAAATATGTTTTTTAAAAGGCATTCAAAAATAAACAAACAAACAGCTGGTCATTGTGGTAGACGCAGTTCAAAGTCAGCCTCAGCGACTTAGTGAGGTCCTAAGCAACTTAGATGTTGTCTTGAATAAATGAATAAATCAATAAATGAATAAGGGCTGGGGATGTAGAATAGTGGTTAGCACTCTCGGTGTCAATTCCTGCTACTAAAATAAGAAAAAAATGTAGAGCCAAGGAGAAGGGAGGTAAATCGATAGTAAACTGAGCTCTTGTATCTGGGTTGCATGATAAATAAATGTCTTTTTTTTCAGATTTGTATGTTTGTATAAATTCCAGCAGAAATGAGGACAAAAGGAAGAGGAAAATCAAGAGAAGAAGTGAAGACTTGAATTAATGAATATTTAGTA